AATATAAAAAAATATAGATATTAACAAATCATTTTTAATTTAATTTTTATTTATTTATTAATGAATTATAAATAATATGACAATAAAAGAAATAATATCTATTTATCTAAAATATTATATAATTTTTTTAATTTAGTATTTTTTTTTATCATTTATGATTATTTTTATTAATTTTAGTTTAATTGTATTATTTTATTATAGTGATTAATTTAAATTTTATTTATATTTTATAAATATTGAAATTTTTCATAAATTTTAAATCTATAATAACATTTTAAAAACTACTTACTATTTCTAATTTTAAACTATTCACATATATTATATTTTTATGGATTTTTTTAAACATAAATTCTAAATTAATGAAAAAATATTTGCGTTATACATTTTTTTTTGATTAACATTTAAAATAATTTATAAACAAAGAATAATAAAAATACATTATTATATAAAAACTATAATATATTAAATTATAAGAATAATTTAAAATATTTTTTTGTTTTACATAAAATGAAGATTAAACTTTAATTTTATTGTTTCTCAGATGATTTTATTTATGAAGATATAATATTATTACTGTTATATAAATATATATATATATATATTTATATATATATATTTTTAAATATATTTTTCTACTATATAATATATTTAATTTATTTTATTTTTTATTTTATATTAATTTAATATTTATTTTTTACAATAAATAATTTTTATACTCTAAAAAAGAAAATATTAAAATGCTAAATATTTTTAATACACTAGTTATAGTTTAAATTTATAATTTCTTTGTACTTAGTTGTAATAAAATTATATTATATTTATTATTTATGCTAATTATTTTTTAAAATAACGCCTTATTATTTATTTTAATAATAAATAAATTATTAAACTAAAATTAAAAAATCAAATTATGAAAATAATAATTTAATAATTATAACCTTTAATATAATTGTACTATCAATAAAATTATTTTAAAAAATTACATTTAAATAAAAAATTAAATAAAATAGAACTTGTTTATCATTAATTTTTATTACAAAATTAAAAATAAACTCAAAATGACCAGCTTTTTTAAAAAAATGTATTTAAAGTTATTTAAAAAAAAAAATAGATTTAATAAAAATACGATCAATTTTATATAAATATAATGATAAAATATTTCATATATAATTTAGTATATTTTATAAAGTTCATAGCACTTAATTTAATTACAAAGCTCTAGAGCCTTTATATCCATAATTCCTAAATTAATAAAATCTCCTAAATTGCTACTTTAAATAAAATATTAAATTAAAACGAGAAAAACATGAAATAATCAATAAATGGAAATAAATAATTATAAGTATGTAAAAAGAAGAAGAATAATTTAATTTTAGATTTAGATGAAACACTTATACATTGTAGCTTTAAATAATTAAACAATGAAGCATTTAGAATACAAATATATTATAATAACTAAAGTAAGATTTATTTTGTGCATAAAAGGTAATACCTAGATACATTTTTATCTGATGCTGCTAAAAATTATAATATTTATATTTATACTGCTTCTAGTAAAGAATATGCTGAAACGATTGTTAAGCATATTGATTAAAATAAACTAATAAAAAAAATATTTTGTAGGGACTATTGCATTATTAAAGATAATCTAGTTAAAAAAGATTTAAAAAAGTTAAAGTTAGATTTATGTAGAAGTATATTTATAGATAATTTAGAATCTCATGTGTAAAGCAATAGGAAAAATTCTTTAAAAATTAAAGATTTTATGGGATAAGAGGATGATTGTGAATTACTTATTTTTCAATAAATTTTAGATGAAATACATGATTAAAAACAAAGTTTTTAAAAAATAATATAAAAATATAGGAATTATTGAAAATAAATATTATAAAATTATATTATTATTCGCAATATTATAAACAATTATAAAATAAATTTATATTCTTCATTTATAATTTAAAAATAAAATAAATAAATAAAATTTTAATAAAATGCTTAGTTTAATACGATCTAAAATTAAAAAAGTAATTCAAATATCTAGAAATTAAAATAAGCAAAAAATAGTCCAAATGCAAAAAAAATTTTAATTTTTTGATATTGCCGCGAACCTTGCAGATGAATCTTTCCAAGGTATATATTATAACAAAAAAATACATGAATCAGATATTGAAAGTGTAATATAAAGAGCTACTTCAGTAGGTTGTGAACATCTTTTAATTGTCGGAGGAAATATATAAGATTCAATAAATAGTTTTTAAATTGCGTAAAAATCTCCTAATTTTTATTGTACGGTAGGTGTTCATCCTTGTAGAGCAACTGAAGTTGAAGCAAATGGTAGAAGTTAATAAGATTGTTTTGAAGAATTAGATAAATTAATAACTTAATATAAAGGAAATGTGTAGCAGTAGGTGAATGCGGTTTGGATTATGATAGGTATATTTTTATAAAAGAAATGTATATAATTTAAATATAAAAAAGGTTTGAATATGCAAGTAAAGAAGCTTAATTAAAATAATTTGAACCTCATTTTGCGTTAGCAGAAAAACATTAGTTACCTATTTATTTTCATAATAGAAATACAGGTGATGATTTTTTTAACATTGTGAAATAAAATAGAAATAGATTTTCTAGTGGAGTAGTACATTCATTTACTGGAACTTCATATGAACTTAAATAAATTATTGATTTAAATCTTTATATTGGGATTAATGGATGTTCCCTAAGAGATGAAAAAAGTATAGAGGTTATTAAAGAGATACCTTTGGACAAAATGATGATTGAAACTGATTGTCCTTATTGTGAAATTAGAAACACTCATCCAGGAAAAAAATTCATTAAAACTGTTTTTGAATAAAAAAAAAAAGAAAAATTTAGTAAAGAGTATATGGTTAGAGGAAGAAATGAACCTTGTTAAATAGTATAAGTGCTGGAAGTACTAGCTGGATTTTTAAATTTAGATGAAAAAGTAATTGCGGATGCTTGTTTTTAAAATACTTTGAAGTTTTTTGGAATTTAATAAAATTAAAAATTATGATTTATTAATTATATACTATTTTTTTATGTAATAAAAATAAATGTATATATTAATTATTTTATTTTATTTTACTTATCTAAGAAAAAATAATTAAATATATAAATATACATATTATGTTAATTTTTAATATTATAATAAAAATAATATTAAATCGATTTAGTTATTATTTATTGTTTTTAAAAAATACAAATCTATCAATGCGTTATTAAATATGTATATATATATAGTTTATAATATGTAAATAAAATGAAATAATATATTCATTTTTTTCTTATAGGTATATCAGTTAGCCATTTCATAACATTATCAATATTATTTTAGTTTTTAGCAGAAATACTATAACAAGCAACCTTTCTATCTTTAATAGTTTATAATTCAAATTACTTAATTAATTCTTCTACACTTAAAGCTGTATCTAAATCGTTTTTATTTCCTAATAAAAGTAATGGAATTCCATCTAAGGAAGGCCAACTTATCAATTAATGTAATTGAGTTTTTGCAATATCTATATTACTTATATCTGCTGAATCAATTACGAATATCACTACATCTGCATCTCTACAATATTTTTCCCAACTTTCACGAAAACGAGGTTATCCACCTAAATCCCATAATTTCATTTATAGTTTTCCTTTTTTTATTTGTCTTTAATTAAACCCTATTGTTGGAATTGTATCTTCGTCGAATTTACCTGTTGCAAAAGTATTTACTAATGTACTTTTCCCTGCATTTTGTAAACCTACTATTGACATTTCTAACTCTTTATTCCAAAATAAATTTTTGATCCAATCAAATAATTTTTAGAACATTTTTTATTTTATTTTTATATTTTTTATATATTTTTTATATATTTTTTTTATTTTTTTCTTAATTTCTTTATAAAGAATTTTTTTTATAATAAAGTTAAATTTAATATAATAATAAACAAAAATTAATAATTTTTCATATTTTTAAATTTACATTTTATTTTATATATTGTTTTTCTTAATTTGATTACAAAATAACTAAACAAATAGATTTTTACTTTTACTATTTTAATATACAAAAAAAAAAAATTCTAATATATATCACCAATCTAAAAAAGGGTCTTCAGCAGGTTTTAAAGCAGGAGTATTTGTATCACTTTCAGGATAACTTGAGAAATTAGAAGTATCATTAGGCGCCCTATTAAAAAAATTAATTTATAAAAAAATAATAAAAAAATATTACTTAACAACAGGTTTATAAGGCACTGCAACTTTTTTAGCAAGTAATTAATTCCAATCAATATTGCCAAACCATCTATGATTTTTGACATCAGAAACTCCGTTTTTTAAATTTCCATATCTTTTAGATAAATCAGAAGTAAGAAGATGTTTGACAAGAGATTTAGCGTTTCTAATTTTTTTTAAAAAAAAACAATTATGAATAAATAATTTAAAATACTTATCGAAATTTCTGGGAAATTTGACTTTTCCTTTCAATATTTTCTAATAAATAGCCATAGGATCTTCATCTGTAAAAGGATCAATACCTGCATTCATTTCATAAATAAGAATTCCAAGGGTCCACCAATCAACAGCCTTGCCATGGCCTTTTTATTAATTATTAATTGATAAATAATATATAAATTACCTTTATTTAAAAGAATTTCTGGGGCTAAATATTCAGGAGTGCCACATAAGGTATATGTTCTACTCTCGACTATTTTAGCAAATCCAAAGTCAGTTAATTTGAGAAAACCATCGTTTGCAATTAATAGGTTTTCAGGTTTTAAATCTCTATAAATGATATTTTTAGAATGCAAGTATTCAAACATTAAGGCTACTTATGCAGCATATAAGCATGCGTGGTCAGGTTCTAAAGCTCCCATGCTACGCAAATAAGTAAACAGTTCACCTCCAGAAACAAATTCAAGAATTAAATATATATATCTACTGTCTTAACAAAAACCATCCATATTTACAATAAATGGATGATTCATATTTGATAAAATTGTGTTCTCGTTTATTATATGATCAACTTATTTCAGTTTTATAATTTCTGCTTTTTTTAATTACTTCAAGGCAACAAATTAATCGGTATGTTTTTTTTTAGCCAATTTTACTCTTCCGAATGAACCTTTTTAATATTAATTTATTTTTTTTATTTTAATTATAACCTGTTCCTAATGTTTGGAATATTTCATAATCAGAAAGCTTCATTTTTTTAGGTTTTTCCATTTTTTTAGTTTTTTTTTATTTATTTTTTTGTATTATATTAGCTTTACTTTATTTAATTATGTTTTTATTTTAATTAATATGTTTATTACCGATTTTTATTTTAAATTTAAAAATTATTAAGTTATATTTTATTTTTATAAAGAGTTATTATATTTCTAAATATTTATAATCATATGATTTCTAATATAATGAATAAAAATCTTAAAATAAAATTCATATTTTAATTAAAAATATTTATAATTAAATATTTAATTATAATTTATAAAATTAAATAATTAAAATAAATTTCTTTTGAAAAAGAATATATATCATATAAATTATAATAATAATTATCCAAAAAAAAGTTAAATTAAAATAAATTAAGTTATTAAAAAATAAATAATATTTATATTTAATTAATATAAATATTGTTTATATAAAATATAAAACTAAAATAATATATTTTTTTGTAATTATAAAAAAAAATAAACACAATTTATATATATAGAAAAATAAAATAAAAATGATTAAAAAAAAAGAATTAAAAATAGAAGAAAAAAATGAATAAAAGACAAATAAAAATAATGAATTAATTTTTTAAGAAAACGAAACCGAAACCGAAACAGAAACAGAATTAAACAATTATTTTTATCTAATAAAATTTCTATTTTCGGTAAATTTGCAATAAATAAATAGTTAAAATATGATTTAAGACATTCCTATAAACTTTCAAAGCAACAAGTAATATTAAAATGTATTCAAATAGTAATTCTTTTAGGATTGTGCAGAAAACTTTAACTAAAATCTTCCAAGTTTCAAACCTAATGTTAACAATACGATATAATGTTGCATAAAATTAAGCTAAAATTCACTTAATAAAGATTATTTAGTATAGTTTGAAATTTATCATTCTAGAATTATTCCCATAGAATAATCTTTATTTTGCTTTAATTCAATTTTAACTTCTAAAAATTAAATATATGTAATTTCTAGTCAACCATTATAATAATTTAACTAAGAAACTAATTTTAGTGAAAGATTTTGTTTTTTTGGATATGCTTAGGTTATTGAATTAAACCCATATAATACTAAAATTTTGCTTTTTGCCAACATCGATATAATTTAGTTTTTTAGAGTATTTTCATATTAAAAAGTAGAAGTTTATATGTATGAATACTTAAAAGCTTCTACTTTTATAAGGTTAATAGTTTTTAAAATAAAATTAATTATTTTTTATTATAAAAAAAAGAGAATATATTTCTATTAAAAAAATGAAATATTTTGATATTTCAAAATATATAATTTAACCAAATTTAATTATTGAAAATAAAACTCCTGTTTATAATCCTTAAATATTAGGCACTTTTTTTGAAAAAGAACATTTTTAATTATTTAATAAATCCTAAATAAATTCAATTTAAGAAATTTCTTTAATTTAAGAAGGAATTTGCACTCTTCAGGGTCCTGTAGCTTAATTTTTTTTTTTTTTTTTAAAGAATTTATATTTTATATAAGCCAGGAAGTGGAAAAACATATACTTTAATAGCTATTTTATCAACTATTTTTTATTATATGTAAAAATAAGAAATTAATAAGAAAATTATGGTCAATTTTTTTTTCAATAATTTAAAACATATTATATAAATAAAGGTTTGTGCTCCTTCTAATGCTGCTGTTGATGAAATAATTTCAAGAGTCGTAAATTTTGGTTTATTTGGATTTAATAAGGAGGAATTAAATATTTTAAGAGTTGGAATTCTCGACTATACGTAAAAAATAAAAAAGCAAAAATAATCTATAAAAAAAAGATCTTCAGAAGATATTAAAAGTGTCGATTTAGATTATTAAATAGATATAGAAATACAAAAACTATAATAGAATAAAATAGAAATAGTATCTGATCTATAAATTGAGCTTTAAAAAATCGAAAAAAAGATGAAAAAAAATGAAGAATTAATAAGTGAATATAAAAATCTAAAAAATAAAATAAATTAAATAAAAATTTAAAATATATAACTTTTAAATACATAAATAAAAAGAATTCAAGAAAATTTGATATAAAGAGCACAAGTAATTTATTTTCTAAATTTTATTTAATTTTTCTAATTATAAAAAAAAAAAGATTATTTTTTGCACTTTAAGTAGTTCTTTAAGTGAAAAGTTAGCTTTTTTAAAAGAAAATATAGAGGTTTTAATTATAGATGAAGCTGCTTAATGTACAGAACCAACAAATTTAATTCCTTTAAATTATAATGTAAGGAAAATGATATTAATAGGTAAAATTATAAATATTTACTTTTTTAATATGTTAATTATAAAATAATAAAATATATCTTTATAATAACAAATATGCTTTTAAAAAATTTTAGTTATATAATATATGTTTAAACAAAAATAAAAAACCTACAAAAAAATATTAAAAAAGGAGATAATAAATAATTATAGGCAACAACTTTTGGAAAAAATTAATTATATAAAAGAAGTTTATTTGAAAGAATAAGCTAAAATCAAATAGAGCCTTATTTTTTGAATAAATAGTATAGAATGTAGCCTTATTTATCATTATTTCCTTCCTAAATTTTTTATAAAGGAAATTTAAAAGATTCCAAAAAAGTCTAAAAAAGACCTTTTTTATTTAAATCTTTTTTAAATGAAAATTATTCACATTTTTTTATAGACATTTAATTTTCAAAAGAAATACAAAATAAATCTTCTTTTTTTAACCTTGAAGAAGCCTACTTGTGTATATCATTAGTATCTGAAATAATTTCTCTTTTGGAAAAAAACTAATTTCCTTCTAATAATTTAACAATAGGAGTAATTGCACCATATTCTTAATAGGTTTAATGTTTAAAAAATCTTTTTAGATAATAAAATTGGTACTTAATTTACCGAAAAATAATTAAAATAAAAACTATTGATTCATTCTAAGGATAAGAGAAAGACATTATTATATTCTCCACAGTTAGAACTTCTAGAATTGGATTTTTGTAAGACGAAAAAAGACTTAATGTAGCACTTACAAGGGCCAAATATTGTCTTTATGTAGTAGGAAATTCAAATTGTCTAAATAAAGATTTTTTTTGGGATTCCTTTATTGGTTTTATGTCTGAATAAGGTAAATATGGGCAAATTTTGGAAAAAGATAATTTATTATCAAATACAGGCGCTTTAATTTTGTAAGGATTAATTTCAAAAGGAATTAGAAGCCTATATAAGAAAAAAAACAAAGATAAATCAATTATTTAATAAGGAGATTAAAATTAAGATTAGGTTATTACAAATAATCAAGATAAAAAAAGTGGAATTAGTCTTGTTGATGCTTTATCATATTATGAAATACATAATTTTACTTTATGTGATTTAAAATAATTAATTAATTGATTTTTTTAATATATTATATAAAAAAAGTATTAATTTTTATAAGGCTTTAGTTATTATTTTAGCTCTTTTTCTATTATTAACACTATCTTGTGGTAGGATTGTTTATTTTTTCTGTTTATTTATTTTTTATATCATATAATAAATTTGATAAAAATTAAATGAATTTTTGTACTGTATTAAGATTTACAAAGCATCAATTAGTAATTATTTCTAAATTTTATAAATAGTAGATTTATAAATAATTAAAATAAAAAAAAAATCAAAGTTTTAATTTTATTCCATATAAAAAACTTAAATTAAATTTAAAATATTGGAAGATTAAATTAATATATAGTATATATGTAAAATTTAGAACTTTTTTTCATATTATTGTTAAAACAAATATTTTCTATATACTTTTTATTTAAAATTAATAAATATATCATGAATAAAACATTTATTTTACAATATTTTTAATTATTTCTAAAAGAAACACAAGTAGAATTTATTGTACAGGATGTTAATTATTTTTTAATTTCTAATTAAAATAAAAAATATTTTTTATGTGTTTTTATACATAACTCTTCATTTAGTAATATTTAAAAATATGTAAAGGATTTAGAATAAATACTTAATATAAAATTAAATGAGTTTGAATTGCTTATATTATCAAAGAACTAGAAATTAATATAATATACAATACATAATAATATTGAAATATAAAATATAAATTGAAAATTAATAATATTTATATAAATATATATTTTCCATTATAAAAAATAATAAATATTTTATATTAATCATTTCACATTATTTAATTTTACTGGAAAACAAAAAATTCAATTTAAATATTTAAAATTTACAAAAACTAGTTTCATGTAACAATAGCATGTATATATTATTAAAATGATTTTATTTCCTTAATTAGAAATATTATTTATATGCATAATAGCTTTTATAATATTTGAATTCAATTAAAGATATTAAAAACTTATTTATTTATATATTTTTAATAATCTTATTCAATATTATGGATCATTATGGCATTTTTTAGCTAATATAAATCAACTATTTAATTGATTTAAAAAATAATTATATTTTTGATGTCGAAAAAGTTTAATTTGTAAATAAAAATATTATATATATATATTATTATTATATAAAATTAAAGTATTTAATTTTTGTTTCTAAAAATAGCAAAAAAAGAAGAAATTACATAAAAAGTCATTTAAAAATGGAAAAAATATATTTTTAAGCAAATTTATTTTTAGAAAATTAATTTATATTAAAAAAGACCAAAATAATTCTTTATAAAAAGGTAAAAAATTTGAGGTATCTTAGCAACATTTAAATGATTTTCTTTCGAAGAAATTTGTTAATTTTTTTTGCTTTTTTTTTTAATAAAAAAATGATATTTTTAATTTCCTGAAAGATTTTATAGGTTTCTGCTTTTATATAAATGAATTTTAGAACAAAAAATAAAAAAATTTAAATAAAATATATTATAAATTAAGTTAGAAAATAAGAAAAACTTTTTACAAAAAACTCATTTTTTGATTTCTTTGAGATTCAATTAATTAATAAAATGGAAAAATAACCTTAATATATATAAGAGAAGAATTTCGGAAGGCTAAAGTTATTTTTTAGAAAGAATAAATCGAATAATAAAATAAGAAAAAAATAAATAGAATTTTCATTATTTTTCTCAAAGTATTTTTAATTAAAAAAATACTTTTAAACTAATTTATAAACATTATTTATTTAATAATAATATGAAAAAAAAAAAAAAATTAATAAAAATGATAATTTTTATAAAAAAATATTAAAATTAGAATCGAAAATAAACAAAAAAAAATTATAGATTTTAAAAGGAAACAAAGGGAAAAAAAAAAAAACATACACAGAGCATCAAAAAAATATAAAAAAATTTCATAAAAATTCTTACTATCGAAGAATAGAATAATTCATTAATAAAAAAATATCTGAAATAAAATTATAATTTTATGCAGGTAACCAATAATTTTAACTAATTTCTTAAACATGGAAAGTAATTTTACTATAAAAAATATTGAAAATAATATATATAAAAATAATTTATATTGAAAATATGATGATAAATTATAAAATATATAAATAAATAAATCAAAATATATATAATTTAAAAATAAAAATTAAAAAAATATAATAAATAGTCAAAAATTTAATTGAAAAAATAAAAAAATGCACTAATAAAAATAAATAAAAAGACATCTAAATTTAATAAAAATAAATATGAATTAATAAAGAAAATAAATAAACGAGAAAAGAAAAAATCTAATATAATATACAAATGAAAATAGAAAAAATAATATTTTTTTTTAAAATAAAAAAATGAATAAATAAATAAACTTAAAATAGTAAAATATTTTAAAAATGTGAGAAAATGCAAATAATATATAAAAATTAAAAATGAAAACGTAAACATAATTTGCCATTAATAATTAAAAATTAATTTTTTTTATATATATAATTAAATAATATATGTTTAATTTTTTTAACATTTAAAAGTAAAAATTTAACATTCAGTTTTTTATTAATTAAAAAAAAGAAATCATATTAATTTATATATAATCAAATAAATTTTTTAAATGAAAGAATAATTTAGAAATTATGATATTATGCCATTAGTTTAATATGATTAAAATTATATTTTTGATATTAAATAATATAAATTTGAAAAAAGTAAGTAAAATTTATATCATTTAACTGACTTATTCAAAATTTATTTTTATATTATGTATAAAAAATAGAGCATTCATAATCAAATGACACAAACTAAAATTAATAATTTAAAAAATAATATTTGACTTAATTTAATTAATCTATAGACTATTCGATTTTAAATGAATCGTCAACAAATTTAGATAATTATATAAGAGTATAATTATAGTTTTATAAAAACTTAATATATATATAAAAAGAATAAAAAATAACTAGATTTTGATATTGATAAATTATATTAAAAATTAAAAAGTTTAAATAAACAAAGCATAGAATAAAAAAATTAAATAAATTATTAAACTAAGGAATTGTAAACTTTAAAAACAATATTATAAACTAAAATAGTAATAGAAAAGCAAAGTAAATTAATAATTCTTTAATAATAAAAAATTATAAAAATCTTAATTCCTAAGAAAAATTGAGCAATTAGAAATTTATTACATAGGGTAGTATTTAATAATAATAAAATAATAAATCGTTAGAATTTAAAAGAAATATATATTATATATAAAAACATAATAAAAATTTTTGTAATTATATAAATAAACTAAACTATGATTTAGACTGGAAAAAAATAAACGAAAACAAAAAATAATTTTTTACTAAATACAATATAAATGATACAAGAAAAGAATATAATAGTTATTAAAGATCTTCTAAGTGTAATATTTATAGAAAATTTATAAATAATTTTGGATTTAAATAATAAATAACCCATGATTAAGAAAAAATAATTAAATTACCAATAAATAAGATTTTAAACAATAAAAATGACAAAAAAATTAATTAAATTCTAAAATAATAATTTTATTATTAAGGATAAGATATTTTTTCTGTTAAAAATAGTTTAGAAAAACAGAAATTTATAAAAGAAAATAAAAATAATAATAAGGAGAATAGTGTTTTATTGAAATAAGAAGAAGAAAAAGATTAATTAATAAAACAGATCTAATTATATGGTAAAATAAAATAAAAAATTTAAAAATATAATATTATAGAGTTGGAAAATTAAAATTTATAATAATAAATATAAGAAATTAATAAAACTTTCTATAATGATTATATGAATTAAGAACTACAAATAAGTTAGTTAAATGATAATATAAATAAATTATAAATATAGAATAATTTATTAAATTAATAAATATAAATATAATAATAAAATTTAGATAATAACGATTTTAAATTGTAAATTTGAAATCAGACTAATTAAGTATAAATAAAAAGCGATATTCAATTAGAATAAAAAAATAATGAAATATTGAATTTAAAAAAGAATAACTTATTTTATGAAAAGTAACTTATTGAATTAAGAAAAGAAATATAAGATTTATAAAATGAAATTTTGTAAATAAAATTAGAATATTAAAAAAAAATTGAATATGAAAAGAACTAAATATAGTCTTTTTATGAAGAACAATAATAATAATAATTTAAAATTTAGAATTATAATTAACTTGAAGAAGCAAGTATTTTTTATTATTTTATTTTATTTAAAAAATAAAATTAATTTTTTGTTTTATTTAGAAGAAACTTTTAATTTCTGGAATAAATGTATTTAATAGATATTTTCATTTAAATATTTGTTAAAAAAAAAAAAAGAAAATAAAAAATAATGTACATTTTAAGAATATATGAATCAAATAAGCAATTTTAATAATAATTAAGAAAATACTTCATAAATTTTTAGTTAGAGAAAACTTTAATTACTTAGTGAAATTTAAAATTTAAATAAAAATTATATTCTTTAAAGTATTTTTAAAAATATTTTATTTGGTTAATTAATTTCAAAAAATATTAGAAGAATTGAATTCATAATCTTAAAATAAAAATATAAATGAATCAAAAGAAGAATTTATTTATAAAGATAAAATTTAAAATTTATAAAGGTAAGTTAATTAGCTAAATTAAATAAGATTCTGCTTATACTCAGCTGGTCAGAAAATAAATTAAAAATAAAAATCAAATAGTATATAGATAGAATAATAATAAATGTAATAGTATGACCATTTAGATTTAATTAGAATTGATTAAAATAAAAAAGAAAATAGTTTAGAAAAATAAAGTAATTGCTAGACTATAGTAATTGAAGATTAAACCAAAGAAAATATGTTTAATAGATTTTTTTTAAATTAAAAAATTATTAATATCTCTTTTTGTTGAAATTTTTTGTATATAATAAAATATTTTCCTATATATTTATTTATTTATTAAATTTAGTATTATATTAAAATTAATTTTATATATTATATTACAATAAGTGTTTTAATATAAATAATAAAAAAATATATATTAATGAAATAAGATTGTAATAAAGAAAGCTGGAAAAGAATGAAAAAAGTGTTTAAAAATTAATGTAAAAATATTTAAATCTAAAATTATAATTAGACTTAAATATTATAATGCAAGCAAATATCAAAAAAAATTAAATAATATATATAATTAGAAAATATTTAAATTATCCGAAAGTTAAAAATCCAATAAATATAAAAATATATTTAAATTAATATAAAATAAAAATTTTGAAAAATAAAAAAATAAAATTTAAGGAAAAAATAATAATAAAATCTTTTAAATAATAAAATTATATTATAAATAAATATATAAATATATATATATATATAAAAATATCTATTTAAATATAATAAATATATTTTTATTTATAAATATATATTTTTTTTTATATGTATTTACATATTATTTTCAATAATTGGTATAATAACAAATTACATTTATTTATTTATTTTTTGTTTGATAAAAATTATTATGCAAAAGAATAGTTATTAATAATATTCATCCATTTTTAATATATTTAAAATGTAAATTTATTTATTATTTTTATAATAATAAATAGTAAATTTACTGTGATAATAAACTTTATTTTTAAATTTATAATAATTTTTATTCACAATAAGATACACTAATTATATGTGTGATTTATTTTAACTAATGTTAAGACGATTAGAATTTTTTGAAAAACAAATAAATTGAATGGATAATAGACTTTTTTTTTGTTAGAATAATAATACATTAATTTACAAAGATATTAATAAATCCTGAAACATTCTAATTGAAAAAGATTATAATTTTAAACTTTTTTTAAATTTTTGAGATTGTGTTACATTTATATTTAAAGTTTTTTTATTAATTTTATTTTTAGAAGGATTTACAAGACAGTATTTATATGTAACATAATTTTTATTTATAGTAATAATTTAAAGTAGTAATAAATTATATCATTATAAATAATTATTATATATTTAATATTCATATATTTTTAGTTATAACATAAGTATAATTAATATTTATTGTATATTTTTATTATTTTCTATTTATCTTTTTTTTTTTTTTATAAATTAAAATTTAAAATTTTATTAAATATTTTTTTACTTATAGTTTAAATCATCATAATCAAATTAATTAATTATACCATAAGTAAGTCTATTGATTAAGTTTTCAATTTTTAGTTAATAGTATATTAGCATTAATTATCCCTTTTTATTCATAAAAAAATGCTAAAAAATTTTATCATATCAAAAATAATAATTGTTCTTGCGAAGCTTAATCTTTTTTATATTAAATATTAGTTCAATAAGTAATATTTTGTATAATTTTTTTATTTTTTTTAATATTGTTCGTCCTAATAAATATTAAGATATTTTAAATATTGATATTTAAAAATCATGAATTTTATATACGTATTAATTATAAAGTTACGAATAAAAAAAGAATAATAATTATTATAAAAATATAGTCAATTAAAATTATTTTTAATAATACTTAATTGATTAAATAAAATTAGTTATTAAGTTTACATATTTTTAATAAGTTATTTTAATTTAAATCATTTTTAGATATTTTAATATTAAAGAAATAATTTAGATTGTTTAGGTTAAAATTAAAGGCACTTAATGTTATAATTGATAAACTTTTAGATTTTTTATGTTTAAAAAATTTTAAAATCTAATTAATTGGTGTTTTCAAAAAAGAAGATTAATATCTGTTTATATATAAATATAATTATTTTTTCTTTTGTTTTTTAATATGTATATTTTTATATTTAGAAATTAAATGTTTAATTTTAAAAACATTTTTTTTTTAAAATGTTGTTATAGTTGCTAAATTTATGTTTAAAATTTAATATTATCTCTATTTATATTATTTTTTTCTAACTAATACATTAAAAATCAAAAATATAATAATATTTTTTTTAAAAAAAATATAGTTAAATTAATTACATTTATAAAAAAGTATTGATTATATTTGAGTATTTAGAAAAAAATGAAAAATTAGATAAATTTTAAAGAAGAAGAGATAAACTCATTAAAATTTTTAGAAAAATTAACAAAATTTACATCAATATCAAAACAAATGAAAGCTAAAAATAAAAAAGCAATTCACAAATTAGAATGGGAAAAAGACTATTAAGGAATGAACATAAAAGAATAAAAATTAAATCAATATATTATCGAATATTCAAAAAAAATTGATGAAGAAATCATTAAAACAAGTGAGCTTTAAACATACTAAAAAGAATTAGATAAATAAAGAAATATTTATGAAATAAATATTTGGTATTAAGTAAAAAATTATAGAGGAATAATAAATGATATAATTAATAAAAAACAAAATGAGAAAATAAATATGGAAGAATTAGCATAATTAGGTTAATAAATAAAAGAATATACAAATAAGATAACAATAGAGTTAGATAATGAGAAAGAAAAGATTGAAGAAAAAGAGAATATAATATAAAATATATGTTAAAAAAAGCAATTCGAGATTTTTATTATGAGAATAAATTTAAAAGAGAATGATCTAGTACTTGAATATTTAGAAAAAGAGAAAAAGACATTTCATAAGCTATTAATATAATATGAAAAAGCAGTAGATTTTTTAAATTAAAGATATGTTTTGTAAGCTGATCTTTTAGAAAAAGATTATTAGGTATAGGGAAGGGAAGAAATGCCTGATATATTTAATAGAGAAAAGTAAAATTTGGAATAGTTTGTACATATAATGAAATTATATGCAAAAAAAAATAAAGGAAGAGAGTTTTTAATGGAAAGGGTTTGTATGCATTTTTTTCCGGTTAAAAAAATAATTCTGGATGTAGTTGAAAGTGTTATTTAAAATAGGGAATTTTAAAAGAAAAAATATAAAATTTTATGCCGAAATTATATTTTGGAAAGAGAAGGGATTAAAGAAAAAGCTGAAATTAATATAAGGAATTTATTGGAAGGATTTATGGAAAAATATAGGAAAAATTAAGAAAAATTAATTAATTAAATTGAATAGTAAAGAATTTAATTAGAATATGAAGAAAAAAAAAAAGTTTTTGAAGATAAAATGATGCTTTAAAAGGCTATTATTATCAAATAAAAAGAAGATATGTTAAAATTAGAAGAAGAAAAAAAAGCTTTATATGAAAATCATGTCAAAAATACTAAAGTTCTTTCTATTTAATATAAATAAATTAAATAAGAAAAAGAAAATAAAAATAAAGAATATTCCAAGGCCTAAAAAGAAATCGAGAAATAAAAAAAACTTTAAATTATTTAATAAAATAAACCCAAAGTCGAGTAAAGATAATAAATTGAATATGTAAAAATCGAATAGAAATAACATCAGAAAGCCCTTTTTGTAGAATATGAAGTTAAAAATAAAGAAAGAATTTAAAATGCAATAGAAAATTACGGATTTAGACCAAAAGTGGAGAAAGATGCATAAAGATTAGTTTAAATTACAGAAAGTCTTTAAATTAAATATAATACTAAGCTTGATAAAGCTGATAAAGTAGAACTTAGTAAAGTTAATGGATTTAATGTTAATTAATTAATGAAAGATATGAGATATAGATTAAGTACAGCCTTGTCTGAGGCAGGATTATAAAATACTGATTATGGAAAAGATGTTTTAAGGTATATGTTTATAAACTGATTTTTATTATATTTTTTTGATATAATGAATATATTTATTTTTATGAAAGATAAATATTTAATAAATTTTTATTATATTTATATGTGTGATTTTTAAATGTAATTATAATATTATTATTTTAATTAAATATATTTTTTATTTTTATTTTTATTTTAATAATATTTATTTTTATATTGATTTATTTTTTTATATTTAACAACTGAAAATAATAATAATATTTGTTGTTAAATAAAATATATAGATTATTTATTATTTTTTATTTATAGTTAAATATAAAACCTAAATTTAAATGAATATATCATAAATAATTAATGAAATTATAGAGAGAAACCATTAATTGATGATGTTTTTCTAGTAAAATGACTAACTATTGAATTATTTTATTCACTAAATTGAAGAAAGATTACCTAAATGTATCGAAAATGAGTTTTTTATGGAAAATTTAGAAGATAGAAACTTGCAATAGGATGATTTAATTCACAAAATTGATGAGTTAAATAAACAAATATCATGTTTTTAAATAAAAAATGAATAATTACAAGAAAAAATAGGTTTAAATGATGAATTAAATATAAACGATAAACGAGTGATAACTCAAATTTAAAAAATTTAAAAGGAAATTATAATAAAAAATTAAAAAATAAATTAAATGGAATAAGAAATAAATTATTTAAAATTATAATCGAATTAAGAAAAACTAAATTTGGATAAATAGAGGATTTTAATGGAATAATAAGAAAAGGAAAATGAAGAAAAATAAAAAAAGTTTGTTATAAAAACAATCTAAAAATATAAAGATAAAATAAGAAATTTAAAAGAAAAAGAATAATAAATAATAAATATGAATGAACTATTGAAAAATAAAATACATGAAAATTAATTATAGGATAATGAAGAAAGAAATCAATTCTAAAAATAAATTTAACATATTCAAAGCTAAATAGAAACAGTGTAAACACATTATGAAGGTATAATTTAAAATTTGAAAAATACTTTTAAAGTAATATATATTATTTTAAAATTAAAAAAATATATATTTATATATATTAATTTTTAGCATGGTTATTTTTTTGTGTATAATTTTAAATATAATAAGAATAAATAAAATTAAAAGAATTTATATAAAAAAATATTTAAATTAAAAAATATATATATATTTTTATAAATATATATATATATTTATATATTTATATATATTTTTATTATATATAATTATATTTTTAACTTTTTTTTTTCTTAATTAAAGATCGAAAAAGATAATTTAGATAAAGAAATAAAAAATTAGATGAACGAAATCAATCAATTAAATGAATTAATTTAATAATAAAATGAAAAGCATTAAAATGAACAGAAATTATTAAAAAACGAACATATTTAATTAGAAAAAAATAAAAATTAATAAATTGAAGAACTTATGTAAAATTTGAGAATATAAAATTCAAAAATTTAAATTTTAAAATCTCAAAAAATTAACACCTTTTCTATTCATGATTAAAAAGATGATTTTTTACAAGAAAAAAATAAGATTTAAAAATTTAGAAAAATAATGAGAAAAATGATTCATTTTTAGAAAATTAAATAAAAAAATCACTTTAGGAAAATCTTAAAAAAGAAAAAGTCATTGAAACGCTTTCTAATTAAATAATAGATTTAGATAATAAAGTCAGAATTTTTTAGGAATAAAAGGATTAATAAAATGAATTTAATTCGAAACTAAGATTATAGAATTTGAATTTAGAAAGAAAAAATTCATAACTTTAATAATAAATAAGTCAAAAATTAGAGGATATTCATCAACTTTAGAATCAAATTAATGAAGTTAGGTAATAAAAAGAATTAAGTTTTTAAGAATAAGCTCAAAAAAATAATATTTAATGTCAAAATTTGTTAAATGAATTAAATTAATATAAGAAAAACTGTCTTATATATCAAAATAAAATCGAAGTTTTAAATACTTAAGTAGTTGAATATGAAGAAGCGAGAAAAATGTAAATTAATGACAGTTTTTATTATGAAAACAAGATAAATTAATTATAAAAGTAAGTTAGTTAATTTGATAAAAAGAAATAAAAAGTAATTTTCGAATTATAAATGATATAAAAAAAGATGAACTTTTTAAAAGAAAATTATTTTAGTGAATTAAATAATTTAATTTTGGAAAAAATAAATGATTTTAAAGACGAAAATTTAAAGAAGATTTAGATTAAAATCGAGAAATATTTTAACGAAAAAAAAAAATCGATTATGGAAGAAAAATAAAAGATTTAAGAAAAAGATGAAATTTGTGAGAATTTAATAAGAAAAAATTAAGAATTAGAGAAAGATTTATACAAAAAAAATATAGATTATGTAAATTAAAAAGGTTATAATGAAGAAATTAGTTATTAATTTAGATAAAATTTGGATTCTCTATAGGTCAAAGTCAAGATTTTGGAAAAATAAAATGAGGAAATGGAAAATAATATAAAAAAATTAGAATTAGAGAATATTTTGTTAAAAAAAAATTAAATAAATAAAGATATTTAAATAAAGTAAAATTAAATATAATATGATAAAAAAGAAAGTAAAAGTAAAATTATCAAAAATTAATTAGAAATGTAGTAAATATAATAAATTTTGTAAAACTCATATTAAACTTTAAAGAAAAATAAACAAATTAACAAAAGTATATATTAAACTCCTTTTAATAAAGGAGTTACTGATATTATAAGAAAATTAAATGATAAAAATGTGTTCGAAAATAATTACTCTAAAACTTAAAAAAATAATAATAATAATATTTATTTAGAAAATAACATTTAAAAAAATAAAATAGAAAATAATCCTAAAAATAATATTATTATTGGAAACTTTGGGAAAAACGAAAATATTCAAGAAAAGTAAAGAAATGAAAAATTTTAGAAAGTTTCATAAATTAGTACTGGAATTAAATAGAGTATTTCTTAAACATCTGTTGGATAAATTAAAAATGATAATGAAAAAATGCTTAATTAGTTACTTTAATTAGACTAGTTTTTAATTAAATCAAGATCTTAGAGTTAATATTTCTAAGGTTAAGGAAATTTCGCGTTTCCTTCAGTTGGATTTTAGGAAGGAGCTTTTAATAATAATAATAATTTCCAGAGTGGTGTTGGTGATAATAATTTTGGAAATTTTAAATAAGATAATGTTAGCTTTTCTAGAAAGTCTTAGAGTTATCATCATTTTTATTCAAATTAAGTTTGATTTATTACTATTTTTTATTGGAAAAATTGTTTTTTTTTTTTTTAAGTTTGTTAATTTTGAGTATTATTTATTTCTTTATATAATTATATATATATATATATATTTATATCAATATAGTTGTATATGTTCAAAATATTATATATAATTTTTTAATTTTTTTTTTTAAAAAAAATAAATAAATATGTACTTCTCATATTTAATCACTAAATTAAGAAGCTGATATAGTCATATTTTCTTAAAATTTTTAATTTCCACTATTTTATTCATATAAGATGTTACTTTAATTTAGTTCTTAAGAAATTGATTATTTATCACAACAAAATGCTTAATAGATATTATCTTTGGCTTTTTATTTCCAATTATGATTATTATTTTTGAGTTTATTACACAATTAAAATATATGGATTATAGTGCAAATGTAAAAGCATAAAATGATTCCCCAAATAAAACATAATATACATATCTCTATAATTTTAAGAATCGGATTAATTATTTCAGTTTCTAAATAATTATTTAGATATAATTGTGATATTATTAAGCATATGTAAATAAAAATCACAAGGATATTAGAAATTAAATTTGCTATAAGTTAAACTTTATTTTTAAAAGGTTAAAAAATAACAAGAGTGATACAATATATAACTTAAAGAGAAAATATATAACCAAATTATATATATTTAAAAGGCTCTAAAAAAACAAGGAAACTCGCAAATAAAATTTTAAAAAATATATTAAATAAAAACGAATATTCTCTATTTTTTTAAAAATATATATAAAAAAAAAATATATATTTACTTTTATAAAAGGTAAAGAATGTTTATCACCTAAAAAAGCTTTGTAATATAAAATTTGTGTTTATTATTAAATCTCATCACTATTAATAAATATGGATATTTTCTTTATGTATTATCCTGAAAGATATGTATAAAAAATAGAAACAAGTATCAAAAATACAAATGAGAAAATATTAAAAACATTCTAAAAATCAAGGTTAGATAATTATAAGAATAAAAATATAAAAAAATGAAGAAAAAATATTTCATGTATCCTTATTTGGAAATCTCTCATATTAAAATAGTATCTTACTGATCTATATTTAAAAAAATCTTTAGGATTTTCCATTTTTGAAAATCTTTTTGACAAAACATATATGGTTCCTTAAATAACTTTGAGTAGTCCAACAAAAAGAAAATAATAAATAGAATTTGCAACAAAAGAGCTTGAGAAATTATTGAAATAAAATGAGTTTTATGAAGGTATTTACTATATAATTTTTTAGCCGAAAAATGTAAAATCTCCATCTTTTTCTTTATTATAAATTAAAGGAATAAATCTAAATGTAGTAATTATATTTATTTATTATAAATACATTTAAGGTAACATTATTAAAGTATTCATAAATTCTGTGAAAAATATATAACCATACATTTGAGTTATATTCATAAAATCCCAAAACATATAATTGCTATTTGAAAATATTTTCAAGAATAAATATAGAAGTATATACAATATAAAAGAAGCATTAAGTATACGAATATGTATTTAATAGTTCTATTTTTCATTTATTTATAATTTGAGATTTAATTTTATTTCTTTTTAAATATGTTTAACTTTCTTTTTTTATTCTCCTATATCATCTTAAAATTCAATTATTAAGTTTCCATTTATTAATGTTTATTTATAATTTATCTATTTTAATATTTTTTTTAAAAATATGTTTTTTTTTTTTTTTTTTCTACTTATAATAAAAAAGACTGAGAATTTAAAATTTATAT